TAAGATTTTAAATTGTTTTCTGAAACTGTCAGGGAGCCAATGGATAGAAGCCAAAACTGGAGAAATATGATCTGTCCATCTAACTCCTCTCAGAACTCTGTCAGCAGCATTTTGGATCAACTAAAGACCTTTTAAACAGTTTATTTGGACACCCAGATAATAAAGAATTGCAATAGTCCAACATTTAACTGATAAATTAATGGATCGGTTTTTTTTTAATTAATGGAACAAAATGTTTCTAATTTTAGTGATATTTCGCARGTGGAAGAAGGCAGTCCTGGTAACATTTTTAATGTTGGGATTAAAAGACATATCCAGATCAAAAAATGACACCAAGTTTCTTTACATTAGAACTGGAGGCCAGATTAATGCCATCCAGGGGAAGTGAAAGGCTGCAAAATTTATTACTAAGATGTTCAGGTCCAAAAACCATAACCTCTGTCTTATCTGAGTTTAGAAGCACAAAATTAACCCAGAAAAGGTCATCTAAGATTCTGTCTTTAAGACATGCTTATAGTTAAGTGATTCATCAGGTTTCATGGATAAATATAACTGAGTATCATCAGCGTAACAATGGAAATTTATCCCATGCTGTTTAATAACTTTACCTAATGGAAGCATATGAAGTAAAGAGGACTGGTCCAAGCACTGAACCCTGAGGAACACCATGACTAATTCTGGTGTAAGATGAAGATTCATTATTAACATTAACAAACTAGAATCTGTCAATTAAATAAGACTTAAATGATTTTAGAGCCATTCCTGTAATCCCAATATCAAATTCAAGACTCTGTAATAGAATTTTGTGATCAATTGTATCAAATGCAGCACTGAGATCTTACAGGACAAGAATTGACACAAGTCCACTKTCTGAGGCCATGAGAATATCATTAGTAACTTTCACCAGTGCTGTTTCTGGGCTATAAGTTCTAAACCCTGACTGAAACTCAAATAGATGATTTTATGTCCAGATGTTTACACACATGATTTGCAACTATTTTCTCAAAAATCTTTTTTCAATAAATCAGAGATTAGATATTGGTCTATAATTGGACAGAGTTCCTAAATCAAGATAAAACTTCTTAAGTGAAGGTTTAATTACAAAAGCCATAAAGCTCTGTGTCACATAACCATTCACTAAAGACAGATTCAGCATATCCAAATGTAGATTTTAATGAAGGGACAATATTGAAATCCTCCAGTATTATGAAATTAGGAGCATTTTATTATTTTTGGTAGCATCATGTGGACGGAGACTTTTTCATAAACAGAGAAATGTCTTTAAAACAATATTTGGAGTAGTGGAGACAAGACCTTAAGAAGTATTTCTTACCTCATCAACTTATGAGAGTTATATAACTCAGTTTCCCAACAATTTGAGGTGGATTTGATTATTCAGAGGCACAAAAGGCTGTCTTCATGAGAGTGGACATGGCTTCAAGTTCACACCAAGGTCAAACTCTTCAATACGCACATTGGAAAACTTAAAAGTGTCCCCGATAAGACAACWGGAGATTAACTGAGTATGGTGTGGCAAAAGAAAGCAGAAACTTGGAGCTGTGTAGAAAAAATACTAACAAATCTTAGTAAACTAAAACATGGAGTCTTCCCAAATTCTTCCACAAAGATGAGAGGCTGATAAAGTCAGGAAAACAAATTCTTTAAGTTATTACTTCTAAGGGTGGTTCCACATCTTCTTAAAACATGTGCTGTGCTTAACTTTTCACATAATTCTTCCATATTTTACTTTAGTTCTTAATACATAAAGCAAACTTGTTGGCATAGTTGGCCATATATCTTTGGTAAATAAATAACAATGTCGTTTGTTGAAGGCTCCTCTTAGGTTTGAACTAATCTGAAAATCTAGGAAAGTACAGGTGATTTTTTTAATGTTTTTGCTTAAACCTTGGATTTTAATGCTCTGTGCTGAAGCTGTCAGCCTGAATTGTTCTTGAAACTTAATGTCCACCATGACTCAGTCATCACAATCTGTCTTATGGGAGTAAAGGAATATAAGAAAGATGTAAATTTTTATTTTACACTGAAAAGCAAATATTGAAAAATTTTGTAACAGATGTGTTTTTAGTTGCTTTTGGACTAAAAAGCATTCACCCACAGCCAGCTGCTGTGAGCAGCGAAGGAGCCTTTAAAATATTTAGCAGCAGATGAAGTTAGAATTTGACAGACGAATATCTGATGTTAAAAACAAAAGACATTTTACTAAAAATATTTTTTCAAATAAAAAACAAGTAGGTTGCACAGAGTTGATATGAGTATTAGAAATATTACATTAAATATGTTTGACCAAATAAAGTCAAAATCTTTTAACTCCACCATAATTTAGTCTTTTCATACATTCAGATTTATTGCTTCAGTCCTGTTTTGTTGGCAGGATAGTTCACTGGTCCTGACTGAACATTTCATTCTCAATTAATTTGCATTTAAAATCATTTCCAAACTGTTTCTTTAAATAAATAGATTTTACCATGAGTAATAATTTGAATTAAGTCGGTTCAATTAAATGATTTCAAGTTAAGTTTCTTGTTTCTTTAAATGCAGTTTTCCTGCTGATGATCAGATATGGTTAGTGTGAAGGCCGGCTTAAAGCATGTGCAGAAAATGACCACATATGGCTGACTGGGTTTTCTCAGTGTCACAGCCCTTATGTACGTCACAAAGAGGCAAAACAGCTTCTTATTTTTCATTCTTGTTGTCCTACGTGTTCGGTTCATCTGTGTCACTGCTGTTTTTCTTCCACTGCTTGAGTCAGAGCAGAATTAGATGAATTAAAACAAAAGCGCCAGTCGCCGTTTGAAGTTTGAGTAGAGCCGTTATTATGACTTCTCCCTTAAAGGTCAAGTTGAGCCACTGGCACGATAAAATATGTGGAGAGAACGGAGGGGGGGAAATGTTGAAATAACAAATCTGTCCTCACAGATGGCGCTTGGGAAAAACATGGCTCTGATCTGAGGTTGCCACCTCAACATTTTCAACAAAATTATCAGCTGAGTTCCACTGAGAACCTTACAGTGACATTAATACACCGCGATGCAAATGAGGTTTTCATCTCATCAGGATCAAGTCACTGAAAAAGAAACTGGGAACAAAAGAGCAGAAAATCTCATATTATAGATGTTTTCAAAATTTCCTTCTAACCATTATAATCTTAACTGGTCTTGATTACACTGCTGGTGCTGGCTTAGGGATTCTAGTGGTCCCCCACCCTCAGGCTTAACCCTAACCTCCACCAGCTGGGTGTTTACACCACTCTGCCACTTTTCCTGTGAGTAAGTCCACTGAGCAAAAGGTCTGAGAAACTGAAGTCATTTCCAACGCAGCCAACGAGGAGGAGGCGCAGCCGTGAAGAAAGTGAACACAGGCTTTGATTAAGAATGTTATTGTAAAGAAATCTTTCTTCAAACAGAAAGGAAAGACTGCAGAGCAGAGAAACATAGAAGGTCCTGACCATGGTCCCCACATGCTCTTTGACCTCAGGGGTAATTTGTTGTTCTTAAAACAGATTGGCTAAATGTTCCGCACACTGAAGCGACGACCCGAAGTATAAATGTTCCAACTGTTTTCCTGGGTTTCAGCCTGGCTGCTAACCCTCTGGGAGATGATCAGACCAGGGACACCCCCCCCCCCCCCACACACACACACACACACACACACACCACCACCACCACCTCTTGTCTCTTCTTGTCATTCTCCATATTTTTTGTCCTCCTCGCGGTCTCTCCTCTCCCTTTTTTTTCAGGTTTGACAATGTCTTGGCAGCAGAGCTGACACGAAGAGTTCACTGAGGGGAAAGGCCAACCACGGGGCCTCAGGAGGGAACAGAACTTAAGATCTCTCTGCATATTTATGATTCTGCTCCCATATTCTTACCATAATCTMCTGAAAACACACACGTTGTTTGACAAATGGGATTCTTTGTTAGGTAGTGCTAAGCGATTTGTGGTGAAAAGTGGACAGATGATCCGTAAATGACCTCAGCAAAGCAGAGGTGTGATGGACGTTTGACCAGCCCCATTTGCCTTTTTGCCCTGCGTGTTTGTAGATTTAGGTGGAGAGGTCATGCAGAAGAGACTTGCTCTTCATGTTTTTGTTACAGCTTAGTCAGTCTGTGGCAATGTGAATATTGTGTAATGGAGAAAGCAATTAAAACAGTGGTTCTAAATCAACGCAGATGTCTTGCCACTTCACATAGTTTGAACCCTTTTTGCCATTTTGAGGCCCGCAAAACAAGAAATGTCTTATGGAAAATAGTTGGAAAATTGTCACCACTCTAAAGCTGTTTGKATGTCATAAAGCAGGACAGAATCTGTTTATTGCTGTCATCCCGAGGCAGYGTGTTTACACCCAGCCACACACATGGATGTGCTCCACAAGGAAGTGATGGATCTGTAGCTTAAAACGCTAAGAGCCCAGCTAAGTGTTTTTTATTTAGATGTGTGGGGAAAGAGCCCTCCAAGTTCAACCACTCTCTTCTCCTCACACACACACACACACACACACACACACGCGCGCGCACGTTTGTTTCTCGACCCCATGGGGACCTTCCATTGACTTCCATTCATGTTTTTTAGACTTTATAGCCTAACCCTGACCATATACTCTAAAATTAACCTCACAGAAACTTACCTGACCATAAAACTAACCTAAACCTTGGTCCTAAATCTAACCCCACACCTGTAACATGCATTTGGACCCGTGGGGACCTGACAATGGTCCCCATGATTCACTTTGGTCCCCACCTGGCTGCTTTTTTTGTAAAAAAATACCCCACGTTGTAGGAAAAACCCGTCCACACACACACACTATCCATGTTCTTTTTTCTGTCTGTAAGTCTAACCTGTGTTATGATGCATTGTGTGTGTGTGTGTGTGTGTGTGTGTGTGTGTGTGTGTGTGTGTGTGTGTGTGTGTGTGTGTGTGT